TTTTTTATAATAAATATAATGAAAAATATAATTTAATGTATAATGTATAATACATTTTTAACATTTATGTGAATTTTAATTGTTTTATTGATAGAGTGAGAGTAGCGTGCAGGTTAGAGAAGACAGTGTAAACATGGCAGTCTGTAGTAGCTGTTTCTTCACTGTTTAAACTTTATTGTTTGTTCAAGTGAGGGAATAATATCTCGTTATACACATCCATATCTTTCATTTATGTATAATTTAAGATATATGTGACTCCTGACCATTGTGAGTAAGTGCTGAAACACCGAAAGCTTATTCTTTTTATTATTGCTGTATGAGCCTTAAAATAATAATAATATCTTTTTCTACAAGTACATGTACAAGGTATACAGTCCTAGCTAACATCAATAACATACTACTGTATAGAAAGCCACTTTTTATGCAGAGCATTTCGCGCAAATTAGGTCAGTTTTGTCCCAGGATGCGACTCTCACCAGTCCACTAACACCCAAGTACCTATTTTATACTGATGGGTGAACAGGGACAGCAGGTGGCTTATGGAAACACGTCCTGATATTATCCAGCCGTGCCAGAGATTCGAACTCCAGACCTCAGTGTGTGAGCTGAGTGCACTAGCAATCGAGCTATGGTGTAGGTTTAGCGCTTCTTTTTTATTATAATAATAAGTACGTATTATTATTATTATTATTATGTTTATAGAGGGGCCACAGATATATCAGATCACTTTCTAGTTGTAGCTACACTGAGAGTAAAAGGTAGATGGGATACAAGGAGAATAGAAGCATCAGGGAAGAGAGAGGTGAAGGTTTATAAACTAAAAGAGGAGGCAGTTAGGGTAAGATATAAACAGCTATTGGAGGATAGATGGGCTAATGAGAGCATAGGCAATGGGGTCGAAGAGGTACCTGGGTATGGGGTAGGTTTAAAAATGTAGTGTTAGAGTGTTCAGCAGAAGTTTGTGGTTACAGGAAAGTGGGTGCGGGAGGGAAGAGGAGCGATTGGTGGAATGATGATGTAAAGAGAGTAGTAAGGGAGAAAAAGTTAGCATATGAGAAGTTTTTACAAAGTAGAAGTGATGCAAGGAGGGAAGAGTATATGGAGAAAAAGAGAGAGGTTAAGAGAGTGGTGAGCAGGTAAAAAGAGAGCAAATGAGAGAGTGGGTGAGATGTTATCAACAAATTTTGTTGAAAATAAAAAAAAGTTTTGGAGTGAGATTAACAAGTTAAGAAAGCCTAGAGAACAAATGGATTTGTCAGTTAAAAATAAGGAGAGGAGAGTTATTTAAATGGAGAGTTAGAGGTATTGGGAAGATGGAGGGAATATTTTGAGGAATTGTTAAATGTTGATGAAGATAGGGAAGCTGTGATTTTGTGTATAGGACAAGGAGGAATAACATCTTGTAGGAGTGAGGAAGAGCCAGTTGTGAGTGTGGGGGAAGTTTGAGGCAGTAGGTAAAATGAAAGGGGGTAAGGCAGCCAGGATTGATGGGATAAAGATAGAAATGTTAAAAGCAGGTGGGGATATAGTTTTGGAGTGGTTGGTGCAAATTATTTAATAAATGTATGGGAGAGGGTAAGGTACCTAGGGATTGGCAGAGAGCATGCATAGTTCCTTTGTATAAAGGCAAAGGGGATAAAAGAGAGTGCAAAAATTATAGGGGGATAAATCTGCTGAGTATACCTGGTAAAGTGTATGGTAGAGTTATTATTGAAAGAATTAAGAGTAAGACGGAGAATAGGATAGCAGATGAACAAGGAGGCTTTAGGAAAGGTAGGGGGTGTGTGGACCAGGTGTTTACAGTGAAACATATAAGTGAACAGTATTAGATAAGGCTAAAGAGGTCTTTGTGGGATTTATGGATTTGGAAAAGGCGTATGACAGGGTGGATAGGGGGGCAATGTGGCAGATGTTGCAAGTGTATGGTGTAGGAGGTAGGTTACTGAAAGCAGTGAAGAGTTTTTACGAGGATAGTGAGGCTCAAGTTAGAGTATGTAGGAAAGAGGGAAATTTTTTCCCAGTAAAAGTAGGCCTTAGACAAGGATGTGTGATGTCACCGTGGTTGTTTAATATATTTATAGATGGGGTTGTAAGAGAAGTAAATGCGAGGGTCTTGGCAAGAGGCGTGGAATTAAAAGTTAAAGAATTCACACACAAAGTGGGAGTTGTCACAGCTGCTCTTTGCTGATGACACTGTGCTCTTGGGAGATTCTGAAGAGAAGTTGCAGAGATTGGTGGATGAATTTGGTAGGGTGTGCAAAAGAAGAAAATTAAAGGTGAATACAGGAAAGAGTAAGATTATGAGGATAACAAAAAGATTAGGTGATGAAAGATTGAATATCAGATTGGAGGGAGAGAGTATGGAGGAGGTGAATGTATTCAGATATTTGGGAGTGGACGTGTCAGCGGATGGGTCTATGAAAGATGAGGTGAATCATAGAATTGATGAGGGGAAAAGAGTGAGTGGTGCACTTAGGAGTCTGTGGAAACAAATAACTTTGTCCTTGGAGGCAAAGAGGGGAATGTATGAGAGTATAGTTTTACCAACGCTCTTATATGGGTGTGAAGCATGGGTGATGAATGTTGCAGCGAGGAGAAGGCTGGAGGCAGTGGAGATGTCATGTCTGAGGGCAATGTGTGGTGTGAATATAATGCAGAGAATTCATAGTTTGGAAGTTAGGAGGAGGTGCGGGATTACCAAAACTGTTGTCCAGAGGGCTGAGGAAGGGTTGTTGAGGTGGTTCGGACATGTAGAGAGAATGGAGCGAAACAGAATGACTTCAAGAGTGTATCAGTCTGTAGTGGAAGGAAGGCGGGGTAGGGGTCTGCCTAGGAAAGGTTGGAGAGAGGGGGTAAAGGAGGTTTTGTGTGCGAGGGGCTTGGATTTCCAGCAGGCATGCGTGAGCTTGTTTGATAGGAGTGAATGGAGTCAAATGGTTTTTAATACTTGACGTGCTGTTGGAGTGTGAGCAAAGTAACATTTATGAAGGGGTTCAGGGAAACCGGCAGGCCGGACTTGAATCCTGGAGATGGGAAGTACAGTGCCTGCACTCTGAAGGACGGGTGTTAATGTTGCAGTTTAAAAACTGTAGTGTAAAGCACCCTTCTGGCAAGACAGTGATGGAGTGAATGATGTGAAAGTTTTTCTTTTTCGGGCCACCCTGCCTTGGTGGGAATCGGCCAGTGTGATAATAAAAAAAAAAATTATTATTATTTTATTTCTCAGTTGTATCTTAATAGCTGTATATTGACTATTTTTATTCAATTTTTTTTTTCAACAAGTCGGCCGTCTCCCACCGAGGCAGGGTGACCCAAAAAGAAAGAAAATCCCTAAAAAGAAAATATTTTCATCGTCACTCAACACTTTCACCTCATACATAATCACTGTTTTTGCAGAGGCGCCCAGATACAACAGTTTAGAAGCATATATATAGATATATAACATAACCCTCCAAACTGCCAATATCCCAAACCCCTCCTTTAAAGTGCAGGCATTGTACTTCCCATTTCCAGTACTCAAGTCCAGTTATATAAAAATAACCGGTTTCCATGAATCCCTTCACTAAATATTACCTTGCTTGCACTCCAACAGCTCGTCAGGTCCCAAAAACCTTTCATCTCCATTCACTCCTATCTAACACGCTCGTGCATGCTTCCTGGAAGTCCAAGCCCCTTGACCACAAAACCTTTACCCCCTCCCTCCAACGTTTTCGAGGGCGACCCCTACCCCACTTTCCTTCCCCTACAGATTTATATGCTCTCCATGTCATTCTACTTTGATCCAATCTTTCTAAATGGCCAAACCACCTCAACAACCCCTCTTCAGCCCTCTGACTAATACCTTTTTTTAACTCCACACCTTCTCCACACTCCGAATTTTCTGCATAATATTTACACCACACATTGTCTTTAGACAGGACATCTCCTCTGCCTGCAACAGCCTCCTCGCTGCAGCATTTACAACCCAAATTTAACACCATATAAGAGTGTTGGTACCATTAGACTTTCATACATTCCCTTCTTTGCCTACATAGATTTTTTTTTTTTTTTTTTTTTTTTTTTTTTTTTTTTTTTTGTCTCCACATATACCTCAACACACCACTCACATTTTTTCCTTCATCAATTCTATGGTTAACCTCGTCCTTCATAAACCCATCCGCTGACATGTCAACTCTCAAATATCTTAAACCATCCACTTCTTCCATACTCCCTCTCTCCTATGTGATATCCAATTTTTCTTTAACTAAATCATTTGATACCCTCATCACTTTACTCTTATCTATATTTACTTTCAACTTTCTACCTTTACACACCCTCCCAAATTTGTCCACTAACCTTTGCAACTTTTCTTTAGCATCTCCCATAAGCACAGTATCATCAACAAAAAGTAACTGTGTCAACTCCCATTTTGTATTTGATTCTCCATAATTTAATCCTACCCTTCTCTCCAACTTCCTAGCATTTACTTCTTTTACAACCCCATCCATAAATATATTAAACAACCATGGTGACATTATACATCCCTGCCTAAGACCTACTTTTACCGGGAAATAATCTCCCTCTCTCCTACACACCCTAACCTGAGCCTCACTATCCTCATAAAAACTCTTTACAGCATTTAGTAACTTACTACCTATTCCATATACAGTGACTTTGCTCACATCTGGATTTGCTCATTTGCAGAGTCAGTTTTCTCATTTAACCCTTTGACTGTCGCGGCCGTATATATACGTTTGCGAGGTACCGTGTTTGACGTATATATACTCATAAATTCTAGCGGCTTCAAATCAGGCAGGAGAAAGCTAGTAGGCCCACATGTGAGAGAATGGGTCTGTGTGGTCAGTGTGCACCACATGAAAAAAATCCTGGAGCACGCAGTGCATAATGAGAAAAAAAAAACTCCGACCGTTTTTTTTAATTAAAATGCCGACTTTGTGGTCTATTTTCGTATAGTATTTGTGGTTGTATTCTCATTTTCTTGGTCTCATTTGATAGAATTTGGAAAACTATATTATAGAAATGGAGGTGATTTTGATTAATTTTACTATAAAAAGAACCTGGAAATGGAGCACAAAGTACAGGAAATGTTTGATTTTTGCCGATGTTCAAAAGTAAACAAATGATGTCATTGTCCAATAAATGTCCAAATAGCCATTCTATACGCAGTCATGAATGGGTTGATGTATTTTTACAATTATTACAGTATTGCAGTAGTCTGCATAACAGTAAATTTCTATTTTTTGTTTGAATAAAATTCAAATAAAACCCAAG